TATACTAAAATTTGGCAAAAATGGTGATTTTACCGTTTTTACATATAAAAATTATGATCTTCAGTGGTGGATTTTTCGGCAACTACCAGTCCAATCTTTCTGATTTTTTAAACATAAGCTATTTTTTAGTCAAAGAATTGATTTCTGGAATTCATTTGGCCGTAACTGCTCTAGTTAAAAAGTTAAGAATTTTGCCATTTTTAGAATTAAAAATGTCCGCCAATTTTTACTAATAATTAAGCTAAAAAAACACTTTTAAAAAGTGTCTCATGTCTCAAACTTTTAAAATAAATATAAATTTATTGTTGGGCCCACTGAATTTTTTAAGATTTTTTAATTTTTAGGGTGGTCGGATACTTTTTACCGGGGAGTGTATATAGATTTTCCTAAAAGTTGCCTACTTTGCAAAAAAAAAAAAATTACTCATCATCCTTACCCAACTTAAGTAAACAAATCCAGTATTCTTCTAAATAAAATTTGTGAACTCCCCAACTCAATTGAGTAATCTGTTCTAATTTTAGCTTAGGAGTTACTCACTTTGCAAAATAAAAAATACACACTTCTTTTAATGTCTCCTGAGCCATTTCACACTTATCTAGAAACTAGTAATGCTCCATTTAGAGAGTTTTTGTCTGTTGTCTAGTGTTTCAATACAAAATAGTGTTGTAACCAATAAATAAAAAAAAGAATAATAAATACAATCTAATGATAAGGAAGCTTACAGATATTACGTAATTATCAAAGGAGGGGAGGGGGTAACCAAAATCTTACATTACACTTAATAAAATATATAATTTATAAATATTATAATTTGATTGGTTATTAAATCTGACAAGAGGGAGGAGGGGAGTAAGTTTATATTAAACTGAATATTACGTAATATATGTAACTCCCCTAAGAGAGGCAGATAACAAATATAAACATCAAAAAAATTTTTTCATGTTTTTAATACCTGATATGCACTCTTTTTTAAAAACTTCTCTAAAAAAATAAGTTTATAAAATAGCAACCAATAGAATTCTTTATATTCATATATTGGCATTTGGCAATGATAGTTTAAGATTGATCTTTGATTACGAATGTCACTTTGTCTTTTTCTTAGATGTACATGACATCCTGGTATCACTCGCAAAGATGTCATATACGTCTAATACTCAAGAGTAAAAAAAGTGATGATAATGGGTGTATCTCATGTGATTCTGCAATGCAGTGTTTAATACTTTGTGCGCACCTATCAATATTGTTTACATATAGGGATTGGCGTCCCTAGTGTAATGGCCTAAGGCATCTACACTCCCTATTGATCTGACCAATCAATAGGATGTAGGTTCAGATCGTCCAGCCAATGATCCTTGCTATGAATATTACTGCGTGCGCAGCCACCAACTGCGTTGAAGATCCCGTACCCTTAGGGGGAGCTGAAATGATGCCAACCAATGGTGAGGTGGTTGATGTGATTATTGGTAGACTGGTATGGCGAGTCCTAGAACAAGTCACTGACTCGACCGAACGTTTAGGAGCTGGTAGGTGCTATCACTCCGAACAGCCTGTTTGTCTCATTGGGAGCTGTAAATTCAGGATATTTGGATTGCCATAAGGTTCATATAGCTCTTGTTAAAACATCTTGGTACCCGAAAAAGGCCCTTAGGGGATATAATAGGTAGGGGCGGGACTACCAACCACTTAGTGGTCAACCAATTTGAAGAGCTGTGAATACTTTGCGGTCGACTCTAACCTGAGGTAGTGTAGACTGGGAGCATAGACGACCAATGCATTACCCCCTTAGAGGAGGGTTAGAGGTGTAGATATAGGGTGGTCCCAACTATGTTGGGCCACCCTATATCTCTAGGCTAGAAATCGTCACACATTGCACTACGGGTGGCTTGGTTGTTAGTGATAGAATTACTTTCAATTCATTTCATATGTTATTCTTGTAATTTTTACTACAATCTGGTTTTTCTATACATAAAAATAAAAAATAAAAATAAAAATCAATATTGTTTACATGCTTTATAGTTTTAATTTATATTAGCTGTTAGTGTATTAATATTAATATTTATGCTTCATATAAAAAACAATACTTTGAAATTTGAATAAATGAATAGATCTGAGTTAACTTTAAATGCAGCAAACGAAGTTGTGATTTCATATTTAAAAGTGGCTTATAATCAAGTACTTTGAATTTATACTTAATTATTAGCGGCCTTGTGCGAAATATGTTTTTGCTCAAAATCACATGTTCAAAATCACATGGCGAGCTTTTTTTTGGAAGGTTACACACTTCTCAAGAACTTGGATCTAGAGATGTTAACAGTTTATGATTGGATGGTTCGAACCGCAGTTTGATCATAGGACCGGTTTCAGTTCAGTTCAAACGTCAAACCAAACCGAGACCGAACTGATAGAAACCGGTTTAGTGAACCGGTTTTAGATCGGTTCAATTAACGGTTACGTGTATCTGCACGCGTAACTTTTTACAATAAAAGAATAACGGATTTTACATTCTTACATTTTTTTATATCACCTTGCATTATTACAACTATGTCGGGAGTTTTTGAAAATGACGATAATAATTTATCAGATGATTCCTTAGCATCTGATGATGAAAGAATTATAAATAAGAAATTGTCAGCAGATGTTTGGGAGTTTTTTCAAAAAATTCAAGATGAGGAAAGTTGGTTAATTACAAACTATAAGTGTATTTTGTGTGCAAAACTTTATTCACCTGGTAATCCAACATCTACACTTCGACGTCATTTAACTAAAAAACATCCATCACATTATAAAAAACCTGAAACCCGCCAAACTACTTTACGTTTTAAACCTTACTCTCCATCAAAATCTAAACCTATCACAGATTCTTTGGTTGATTTTGTTGCAACTGATTTGCAACCTTTTACCATTGTTGAAAATCCTGAATTCAAATTATTAATTAATAAATTGAATCCCCACTATATTTTACCTTGCAGACAAACCTTAAAGGAAAAATTCATAGAAAATTATAAAATGAGAAAAAATGTGTTAATTAATGAAGTCTCACAAATTAACTCAAAAATCTCTCTTACTACTGATATTTGGACTTCAGAAATCTCAAAAGATTGTTATCTTGGAGTAACAATGCATTATATTAACAACAATTGGGAATTAAAAAATCTCTTACTTGATTTAATTCCTGTAAATGGTTCTCATACAGCTGGGTTAATTACTAGCAAGCTTTTACAAATTCTTGAAGAGTTTAGTATCAGTAATAATATTCTTGCATTAACTACAGACAATGGAAGCAACATGATAGCATGTGGTAATCAACTAGCAACTGAATTAGATCAGGAGTTTAATAATATGGCTTTTACTCATTACAGATGTGCTGCACATATTATAAATTTAGCAGTAAAAGCAGGAATGAGTCATGTTGGAAATGAAATCAAAAAACTTCGTCAATTTGTTGTTAAAATCAAGAATTCACCATTATTTTTGGATAAATTATCAGAAATTTGTACCCTTAAAAAAGTTAAATTTCTTAAACCAATTTTAGATATAGACATTCGCTGGAATTCCACATATTTTATGATTAATAGACAAATCTTAATGCAGGGTGTTTCAGAATTACTTGCAACAACAAATGTTGAAGAACTTGGAGATTTATTTCCAACAATATCTGAATGGCGACATATTAAGGTATTTTTTATTTTATAAATTATTATTTATTTTATTTTATAATTATATATTTATTAATTATTATTTTTTTTTTTACAGGAATTAGCAAAGGTATTAGAACCTATGTATGAAGCAACCAATTTATTATCATCATCAAAAAATCCTACACAAGGTGATATAAGATTGGTTTTTAATGGAATGTTTAAAAAATTGGATCATTATCAAAGAGGAAATCACCATACACAAAAGGCAATAGCATCAGCAATTTGTAATAAATTGAAAGCCTATTGGGACAAATATTTGAATCAATCTTCCATTACTTCTTCAATATTAGATCCACGCTACAAAACCACATTATTTAGTCATAATGATATAACTGAAATTATTAGTAAATTACAAGAATTATATTTGTCATATTTACCCTTAAATAATCAAACCATACCATCAGCACCAGCACGATCATCTCGTGATTATTTTCTTAATTTACTTAATCCAAATAATATTCGTCAAGAAGTATCGCATGATGAATTAGATCGATACTTAAATTCTCCAGTAAATAGTAATACAGGTTCTTTAATTTGGTGGAAAACTTATGAAAAGGATTACCCAGTACTATCTCAAATAGCTAAGGATTATTTAACAATCCAAGCAACGTCGGTTCCATCAGAAAGGGCATTTTCAATTTCGGGATTAACTATTTCAAAAACTAGAAATAGGTTAGATCCTGAAACGGCAAGGGCAATTATATGCATGAAAAATTGGATATCAGAAAAAGAAAGAATGGAAAATTGAATCAATACTTGCAATATGTCTTTTTTTTTTTCCTTTTTTTTTACATTATGTGAAATTTTGTTGGTAATTTTTTTTCTTATAATAAAAAATTTTTTGACGATATACGATATATTTAAATTCATGATCTGCATTACACAATTTTGTATAAAATACTATAAATATCCGGTCTAAACTTCGGTCTAAACTTCAGTCCAAACTTCGGTTCAAACTCTGGTTCTAAACCTATAACGGTTCGGTTTTGTACTCAAACCACCAGTTTTTGGACCGAAAACCGGATGGACCGAACCGTTAACATCCCTACTTGGATCGCGTATACGGTATTACTTTAGACTTTTTTAATCTGAACAATCTGAACATTACGGTAGTTATAGATTCTGTTTTTCATTCGCTTAGTTTAGTATTTTCACAGTTTGTACTATTATTGTATGAGTTTCACTTAAAATAAAAATAACGAAATATTTTTCAGTATCGGTAGACGACGCGTCTTAGGGCGGTTAATTCTCACTTTCATTAACATTCTACTTCATGTATCTAACATTGTACATAGTTACTTTAGTTTAAACTGGAATTGTGTTCTACTCATCTATAAAAATAAAACGAAAGATTTCCAAACACGCCAAAAAAAATATACTCTGAAACAATTTCGTGTACGAACAACTTAAAAGATCGAACAATTTTCGCGTAAAAAGACATTAGTCAGGTAAAATAAGTAACTGATTTCCTCCTCTTTGTAAACCGTAGCTTTATTGAACAGAAAAGAAGCGTCTGCGGCGGAGAGAGACCGTCGGGAGCCAGTAATGGCAAGTCATCGTAATAGTTGATGGCCGGCTGATTTTCTCGTTTAGAGTTACTGGAGAGTTGTTTAGCACATAAGGCGTCTGCGACAGAGGGAGACTGTCGGAAGCCAGTAATGGCAAGTCATCGTAATAGTTGGTGGCCGGCCTTATATAAAGAACAACTCACTTTAGTTTTTTATCTCATTTGCTTTGATCAACGATATGCTTAAATATTTTTCTCATTTTTAAGCTGATATGGGAAAATCAAAATCAAAATCCTCACGCAACATAACAAACATAACTCAGCAAGAACGTCACGTTTACTGGATGTTGACTTGTCCCGATCCAACTCCACTTGCATTTTTTCGATTTATATTTCCAACTCATCGAATTAAAGCGTCTGAAAAATATAAGAAGGCGCTCAACCTTGCTTTGAAAGAAACCGATGCCGAGGATTTGCGAAATAAATTCGAAGAAATGAAAAAATTGGTGAATGTATGTAATTGAATGAAGTGATAATTCACTATCATCTTACTCCGTGATCCATTTCGTTTATAGGAGGCAAGAATTTTAGAAGACTGGGAAACATGGATGCAACAAAGAACAGCGGTATGTCCGTTTACTGGCCCTTTGATGGTTTGATTAAACATTGACAAGTTTATGTATAGATTTTAGTTCGTCATAATATTCGTAATACTAATCTTAGTCTTCACGAGGAAATAAATACGTTGGCATTAAACAAGGTAAACTAATCGGATTTTTCAAAGACAAATTAAAGGTTTTAATGAATATATTTGAAAAGGTTGGGTAATTTTTTATTTGAGGATGGATCATCAGCAAAAAACACGAATTCTAATCCAGATCCAGATGCGAGTGAAGAAGATCAGGAGGAGAAAGAAAAGGAAGAAGAGGAGTTTGTAGATGAAATCGATGAATTTATTAAGGACAAGAGGAATACCGACAAAATTCACAACGGTGTCATCAGCAACGATAATAATAACAACAACTTCATAGAACGTTTCGAAGAATCCAAGCCAATGTCATCAACTTGTCAGCGTCCGTGGATTCTGCGTAGCGGCACAAACGTTGGAGATAAATTAACAAGTTACGTCAAGACGATCCCTGAAGTCCAAAAATGTTTGAAGTAGGTTTATTATAGATAATGTGGACGTTAGCGATGATTATTTTTAATTATAGATTTTTTTTTCACTTATAGCCTCGCATATTGGAACATACTTGACTTGACCGAGAGTTCCCAAATTAAATCTCTTTTCTCGATGAGTGAATGGGAGGAAATGGTTGAAAGTTTCAATAACGAAGTTAAATTGATTGAATCGGATATTAATGGTGTAGTTGAGTATTTTTTCGAAGAAGTTGATAAAGTAAGTTAAAAGAAAAATATTTCTCCTGTTACAACTTCAAAAAAATGTTTCTGACTCAACAATTTTAGATTACGAAAAAAGATGATAAAGTCATCATCAATGCGATCGATAGAATAACACCGGAAATTATTGAAAAGAATCAAAAAATAAAGCTTAGCGATGAAGAAAAAAATATTATCACCGTTTTAAGACGGGCTGTTGTTACGTAGTGAGTGATGCTAAATATAATTATCAAAGCCTTATTTTGTTTTTTTTTTTACAGTCAATTCTTACAACATATAGCGCCGAAAATCTGGAAAGACTTGATCTTCCCATTTCCGAGGCTGATTTCGATAACGCATTTCCAAATATGCTTGCAAAAAGATTCTTAAATAGAGAAGAACTAAAGATGGATGTGTAAGTATAGATAAGAGACATGGCCAGTCTGACTTCATGTAATTATATATCATCTTTAAAATTTTATAGTGGGGAAATTGCATGTTGGGCATCAGCTCATCGTCGAAATGAAGATCGTTCCGTTGTTCTCAGAGCCCGTGTTGGGCAAAAGTGCGATTTTCGAGGAACCTTGAAGGATAGCATCAATAGACTTGAGGCACTCATAGGTCTCAGAAGTGGTGGACTCCCAGAGCCTCATCAAAAAAAGATTCATGAAGATAAAGTAGACTTGTGTGTAGCGATGCGAGATATTTTATATACATTCTTTAAAGAAAACTCAAAAGCGCCTAGCTCTGACGTACATAGTACATTTGTTTTTGGAATACATTCATGGGGTAATTAAGCAACAGAAGTAATTATAGTGATGAAGTTTAGAACTTGCATTTTCTAATCATTTTTCTTTGCTCCTTGCTAAGGGTGGGTACATAATATATATGGAATGGATTGTAAAGCGACGAATGTGCTACGGCTTGGTAGAATATCTCATGCCAGGATGCCCAACACTCTAAAAACGCTGTCAGTTCTTGAAAGTTTTTATGTACTTTTCACTGATTTGCAGGTATTAATATGTTTGTCATTTTTACAGTTGATAATATATAGTATCTTATTGTTATAACATCTAATTTTAGGCTACGTTGAATACTATTTGTGAACGCACAAATAACATCTCAGTTTCACATTCACGTGCGCATAGAAATCGAAAAAGAAAGAATTCAGAACATGTTCGTGAGAAAGGAGGATCATTTGGAAATCCTTCCCAAACTCCAGCAAATAAGAAAAGTAGAAAATATGTGGGCCCCTGATTAAAAAATCGATAAATTTAGATATAATAGATATTAGCAACCGTCAAATTTATCATGATATATCTTGTTATAAGTATATCGCGTAATATTTTTTGTATTGCATTCAAAAAGCATAATGTATTAAAAAAAATAATCAGTCTATGACAAAAAATAATGCATATGTGCAATGTACTTAAAGCTTGGAATTCATTTTATGAGTCCCCAATTCTCGAGATATTCAGGAATAACAATTTGGTTTTTGTAATATTAAACGTAGCTTAGGCTGATTCGCATAATTCTTTCACATAATTCTTTCTTAAGTTATCTTGTTGCTTGCTGTTTGATAAAACTATACTCAATTAAAAATTTTTCTCTATATTCCTTGCACATCGATTGATTGTGAGTAATAAATACCAATGGTCTGCAAATTATTCCTAAATATTGGGACTCTTTCAACAATTTTTCAGCATAATTCTTCGATTATCATAAGTCCGGGAAACTTCTAATAAAGATCACTTTCAAAAACCTAACCATCTTTTGATTGGTAGATATATTCCAAATATAGTAAGTAGAACTATCGTTAAACGTCCGAAGCGTTCTGATCAGTAATCCAATTTTAATGATCACTAGATATTATGTGCTGTTTCAAAATGATGTACGCAGTTTAAATTTGAATAAAAAAAAGAAAACCGAAAACCGGACGAAACCCGGACGAATATGGGCGAATATTGGTATTCGAATATATAATCACAAATAAACTGCGTACAGTACACCGTTTTGAAAACGGCGATAATTAATAATTGTGATGACTTTAATTATTTTTTTCTTTTTTTTTTAAGAAAACAATCATGTAAAAGTAAAAATGAAAGTAGTAGAAAAAGTAATTTATATAATTTTGTGACAAATTAAAAGATATTTCTTTTAAAAGAAGTTAAAGAAAATTACATATGTAACTATTTTCCTTTTTTTTTAGTAATTTTTTAATCTATTATTTTTTCTGATATTATTTATAAAGTAATTCTTACTGTTATTGCTTATTTTCTTATCCATTTATTATTATATAATAAAAATGTAGTATGTAATAATTAATATTTTCACCTCTTCTGATATTAATTTCATTAGACCTTTTTATTTTAATTTCTAAATAAAATTTAAGGTTTTCAGATAAATACAATTTTTTTTAAAAAAAATTAAAATTATTAATAAAGTTTTACTATTTTTAAGTAAAAAAACCTACTAACTCTTTTATTAATTTAAATTAGCTAAAAAAATACTTTTTTTTAATACTAATCTGAATAAAAATTAATATATGAGAAAATATTCTTAGAAAGTATAATAACAAATTCTCTTTTTATGAAAAAATAAATTTATTACATAATATATAAAATTAATACATTATGATAATATATTTAATAAAAATCATATAATTAAAATAATTTTGCTTTAATATACCAATTAACAATAATATCAGATATAGTATAATTAAATATAATAAAATTCAATAGTTAGATTTTTAAAATTTTGTGAAATCCTTTTATATTATTATTACATATATTCTGTATAATATAATCAGGCTTTTTATTTACAAGGAGTTTCTAACTTTCTATGAATGATTTTTCGAATATCGATCTGACTGTACCCCGATACAGTACTTAATAAGTAGTAAGATTTTATCTCTTTGGTAATCTTGTTGGTAGTCAATGTATTATTCATTTAGTAAACAACAGTACTGTAATTTTATTACTGATAAACGAATTATCGATATACCGATATAATTTTGATATACCAATTGATTATACAAACACCAATATCTATACGCTATATTATTGGTTCATTTCAATCTTTTAGTCTAAGTCGAAACCAGGTTACAAAGTTCTGATAGCGCAAGAAAAGGAGCAAGTAAACAAAAGCCAACTTGCCAAAGAAACAAATTGAAAGATAAAATAAATAGTATTAACAGGTTTTTTAAGATAATTCATACAAACCGGTTCATGCGGAAAGTAAGATTTACGACACGTGTATAATCATTGTAACCCCTCATACTAAATTATCTATAATATTTTACCGAATATTCCTTTATTAGTTCTTGTGAATTGTTTGATAAGATCTTTTTGCTTTATTAGGAAGTTCATTAAATACATATATCCTTTTTTAAAAAAACATGAGTGAACTATTAATTTATTGATTATGGTAAATAGAATGATTCAGCGATCAAATTTAATTATGTATCCATATATTCATATAAATGGTTAAATAAAGTTTAATACGTAATTATAATACAAATTTAGGTTCTTTTCTTGATGACATATTATATTTTCACTTAATAATCCTAATACTAAATGTATATTACGATAACATCTGTATCTCGAGCAACATCTCCTGCTTCAGTCTCAACAATTACTTCTGGCGATTCATTTTCTACAATCACTTCTTCTAATTTCTCTTCTGATTTTGATCCTTTTCTTAATTATAAAATATTTACAAATTCCAGAATTACTATTAATATGGATAATCCTTCTGAACAGATACCTTCAATTTCTCAATTCGAAGAAGACTTTGATAATTTGTCAAAATTAGTAGATGAAAAAAACAAGAATATGGATAATTTTAATCAAAATTTAATCGACGTAGTCAATAATGATTATAATGGTAATATTAATTTTATTAACGAAGGGATGAACCAGGATTCAAGTGCGATAGTATCTCCACGTGAAGAAGAAAGGACGAAAGAAAGTCAAAATAAATTTCAACAAAATGATGACAATTTTAATAATGAAGTGACCAAGTTTAACGATAATCAAAGCACTATGTCAACTCTTGAAGAACAAAAATCTTCAGACGATCCAATTACATTACCTCAAGCAGAACAAATTGCAAATATGCTAATTGATATTAATAATAATAAAATTACTTCTAATAATATATTTTCATCAAATAATGAAAATGATATTACTTGCAATACTTTGGTTCTTCCTAAACCTAATACGTCATCAACTTTTGACGATACACTCGATAATAGAAATCTTATTAGCGAAAATATCGTTCTTGATAATTACAATAAGATGCAATCATTTGATGTTAGAAATGGTAATGATCTCATTTTGAGCTATATTGACAAGGATAACATGGAAATTCAACAAGAAGATGATGAGATTTGTCTTAAAAGAGATAATGAAATTAACAAAGAATCAACAAACAATGAATTTAACAATGATAACAATAATGAACGTAAAGAAATTGTGGATATTAAAACAAAAGTAGTAGTAAAGCTCTTTTTTTATTTACTAAATTTTTTCTTTTTTTTTAAAAAAAAATATATATATATATATTTATTTTAAAATTTTATTTATATACTGTAGGTCAAACAAGAGTATGGTAGAATTACTTTAGCTCTCAAGGATCAATTAGCTTTGTATAATAAATTCCGTGAAGTTATTCCGGAAAATGTTCGAAAACAAGTAGAAAATACAGTAGGCGTTATCAGTTTTACATATCATCAACCTAATCAAACGGACGGTGTACATGTAACTTCTGATGATCCTATGGGAGAATCTATTCCTCAAGAAAATGATTCGGATTTTTTATCATCTACAGAATCAAATTCTTCTGAACAAAATCAAGTAAAAGTGAAAAAATCTACAAGAACGATGAATGGCTATAATTATTATATTAAGAAACAGTTTAAAAAGTCAAAGAATAAATCGCGGAAGGCACGAGACGTAATCAGTTCATCCGCGAAAAAATGGCTTGAACTTCCGGCTAACATTAAAAAAGTAAATACTGTAATTATTTCTTAACTTTCCAAATATTTTACATTAAACAATTGAATTAATCTCTTAATTAAATCGCAGCATTACCAATCAAAAGCAAAACTTGGACGGGAAAAAGTTTCCGTGAAGCAAAATAGATTATACGGTCGAAAGAATCAGCAACCAAGACAACCACGTATTGATACACCAGGAGAAAATGAAAGTGAGGTTTTGGCTGTTGTCATTCCAATTGACTCTGAACTCCGCTATAAATTTCAATAATGACGCAGTCTCAATGTTGAGTCATATATGTGGGATTTAATTTACATTGGATGAATAAAAAGAGTATATTTCACGATAGAATTCAATAAGAAATTTGCATGAAAAATTTAAGAGTGAAACATACGTTCTTTTTGCTTCTATTTTTATCAAAAAAAAAGGGGGTATATTTCAGAAAATATCTAAATTTGCATAATTATATGCTAATTTTCTTGCATGAAAAAAAAATTTTTTTTTTTTGTCAAAATTTTCGTAATAACAAATAAACAATAATAAATTTTAGCGATTGTTTTAAAAATATTATCAGAACGTGCGGAACGTGAATAAAAGACTTTTATATATATTTATTTATGTAATCAAAAGTTTAATTAATACGACAATGAAAATAATCGGAGATTTGAGGCGATAAAATGTCATGGAGATCTTTTTGATGACAAAAACTGAAATGCTTCGACGTAATTAATATATTGTAAATATACATTTATATAAAATTTCACATGAGGCTATTTCAAAAAAAAAAAAAAAAAAATATCTTCAATATGAATCATGAATATACAGGTTATTATTAATTGTGAATAAGACTGGTTTACGAAACAAAGAAAATATTAAGTGAGCTTACATAAAAGTCTAAGAAACAGCTGAATGGATTTAAAAAATTAATGCAGACCTACCAAATATATCAATCTTTTTTTTTGTTAAGATCAAAGTTAAAACTTATTAACCTACTTTATGAATAATCGTTCTTTTTCCTACTGATAAGTTTCCAGATGAAGATTTTTTTATTCTGAGTGGCAAAAAGCCTTTACTCTCCGATAATCTATTTAAATACGTTACTTCATTTCATATGAACTTGTTTCTATTCTATTATCCCTAGTCTTCCTATTTCGGCAAAGTTAGTTTCATCTTAAAGTTTAAAAATATATATATATATATATAACCTCTTTCCTATTATCTAAATTACTTTTCTTCATTCCTTTCCCTATTTTTTTATGTAAATTTTTCTAATCGATCTAATTTTTATTTTTTTTTAAAAAAAAATATATATATATATTTTTTTTTCTACAAATTTATTATTGGTTGGGAAGTTAACTCAACATCCAACGAGTTAAATAAACATAATAATTAATCATGTTTATGAAATCAAGTAATTTAGCACCTGAATTACTTGGACAAATTTTCTCTCATTTGGAATATGATCTTAATACTTTATATTCTTGTTTATTGGTCTCAAGGATTTGGTGTAAATCTACAGTACCTCTACTTTATAAACAACCTTTTCATTTATGTCCAACATACAATCACAAAAAACTTATAAATCTTTATCTTCCATGGCTTTCAAAAGAGTCATTGACTCTTCTTGGGTTACATAAAAAGATTATAGAAAGGAAATCAATCTTTAAATATCCTTATTATATACGACATCTCAATTTCTTTGAAGTTTATGAGGCTTCATGGACTTTGTGGCATGATGAATATTCGAATAATAATGATGATCTTGAAGATAATTTTAATAAATTTAAATTGAATCTTTTGAATCGTTCAAATGAAGATCAAAATTTGGATAAAGAAGAAGAAATACTCGTTTCATTATGTGATTATGATGATGATGATGATAGCGAAGATGATTATGAAGATCATGATACAATTTATGATGAAACAGCTGATGAATCTTATCCATCTCATTATATTCTTAATAAACGTATAATTGCAATGACTCATGAATTATTCAAACTCTTTATGGAAAATTGTCCTTATATTGATGGTTTAAATCTTTCAACAATTGATTTGGAATTTTATCATGGATTATATTTTAAAGAATACCTTTCACTTCCACTTCTACCAAGCGCTTTCAAATGTTTATCAAGGTTACAAAAATTTGTTTGTGGTGGAAATTTTTATAAAAAATCAATTATTAATTCAATGATTAAATATTGTCATAATCTTAATGAAATTGAAATAATTTTTAATCCTGATTATGATGAATCAACTGATTGGGCACCTTTAATTCAAGCTCAAAAAAAACTTGAAAATCTTACATTTTCTTTGGTTGATTATGGAATTGCGGAAATTTTTAAATCTTTAGAAATTCATTTTGATACATTAACTAGTTTGGAATTTAATTCATGTAGTTTTAATGATTGTTGTCCTTTTAAGGCTCTTTATGATTTTACAAATTTAAAATCATTAATTTTCTTATATTGTGGTGATCTCACTTATGATGATGAGAATGAAATTATTTCAGGTCATAATAGATTATTTTATACTTATCCATTTCCAACTTTAAAGAAATTACAATTTGATTATAGTTATCCTAATGAAACTCAATTATTAAGAATGATAAGTGGTGAAGATACTGAATCTTTATATTGTAACCTTGAAGAAATAATTTTAAATTTTGAAAATTCGATTCATCCTGATGTAATAGAATGTATTGCAGAAGATTGTATAAATCTCAAGAGAATTGATTTAACTGAGAATGGAAATGATAATTCACATTTCGAGAGTTTATTTCCAATATTCAAAAATTGTAATAAATTACAATCTTTACATGTAAGAAGAGGTTATCGTATAGCAAGTATAAGAGATAAAAGACCGGATCCTGGTGTAATATTGGAAAAGATTGCAGAGATAATGCCATTTTCAATGAAAGAATTATCTATTGTTGTAGAATGTGCATTTACAACTTATGATGTTGGAATTTTTCTAAAAAAATGTTTAATTAATTTGAAATATTTATCTTTGAGATGTATTGGATCAAAGAATGAAATTAAAAAGGTATTAAAAGAATATGCTTTTAGAAATAATGTTAAAATTATTGAATGTAATTTTAATAAAGTGGGTATGAGGAATGATATGAGAATTAGTTCTATAGAAAAGGTCTTTGATTTTATTGTAAGATTTGCTTAAGTCTTTGGTATACATAGTGGGAACAGGGAACCCATTGGTGGGAACACGTTGTAGGAACACATGATGTGAATAGGTAAAGGTAAATTTGAGGTAAATTTAAAGTAAATTTGTAATTTTATGGTATTACACTAAATTATTAACTACAGAATTCGGATTAAGCGAATACGTCCGATTTACAAAAATAAAAATTTCGCGTATTTATTATTTATAGTAATTTGTGATACTGTTATCAATCATATACTAAACATTACCAATCGTACGCTATGACTTTCTTTTTTTTTAAAAAAAAAAAAATAAATTGTTCTTTCTACAGGTGAAAAAAAAATGAAAAAAAAGGTCATAGTAAATTTAATTACAATTTAAAAATAAATATTTTTAATATCAAGAGGAAGAAAAAAAAATAATAAATTATTATTATATAACAAACAATATTAAAGAATTTTATACAATTAAAAAAACAACAAAATACGAAATCTCATTCTCGTTCAGTAACCACCCTAACAAATTGAATGCCTTTAGTAGAATTTCTAAGACCTTCTCTTGTAGTTGAATTCTTCCTTAAAAAAATTGTTCTAATCATATTACCATAATCAACATAATTACCACCAGAAAAAGCTATTAAAGCACTCTTATTAATAGATTTAATCATTAAATCAGTGCCAATATCACTTATTGAATTTTCTTCTAAATCTAAAGTATGTAAAGTTTGATTAACAAGTAAAGCATAAGATAAAAATTCGGCACCTCTATCATCAATATGATTATCAGCTAAAATTAATTTCTCTAAAGTAAAATTTTTTTCCAAAGATTTTGATAAATATTCAATACCTTTATTACCAACTTTAGTATGATCAAGATTTAAAGTTCTTATTGACCTATTTAATCCAAGACCTTTTGCCAAACTTTCAATACCTTTATAACCAATATCATTATTACTAAGATCCAAATTAAGAATTTTACATCTTGATCTTTCTAATACTTTTGATAAAGATTCAATACCTTTTGTTCTAAAATTATTCCATGATAAATCAATAGATTCAATTGAATTATTTGATTCTAATGCTCTACATAATAATTCCATTCCTTTATCACCAAAATTATTTCCAGCCAAATCAATAACTTTAATTGTTTTACTAATTTCTAAAGATTTTGATAAATATTCAATACCTTGATCACCAATATTATTATCAGATAATATTAAAGTATGAATAAAATTATTATGTTTTAATGCTTTTGCTAATAATACAGCACCAACTTTTTCAATTTCACTACCTTTTAATGATACAGTTGATATAATATCATTTGATTGTAAAACTTCAGTTATATATTGCCATTTTGTACCAGGTTGAAATTCCAATAAATGTAAAGATCTTATAGCGGGATTATATTTTAATATATTTCTAATTTGACCAGCTGTTGTAACATCTTCAGAATGTAATTTTAAAGTTGATAATTTATCCAATTCTTCTTTATATGATATTTGTAATAATTCAATCTTTCTTTCTAATGTCATCATATGCATATTTATTCCTCTAAATGCTTCTTTAAATGGTTCAATTTTACAAGATTTTAAATGTTCATATAAATCTTTTCTTTCAAATTCTTCTGAACAACCACCAAAACTACCCAAAATATTTTTATGAGGACAATTTATTATCTTTTTTAAACAAACAAAATCATGATCTTTTAATTCATGATATAATAAAGGTTGATTACAAGTTGGACAAGCTATTGGTCGATTAATACATTCCACTTTTACATGAGACTAAAAAAAAAAAAAAAAATTTGAAAGTTTAAGATATTAGTGAATATTAGGATATTAATATTTATTTTCTAAAAATATTTTTACCTCAAGAGCTTCCAAGTCGTAAAATTTTCGTTTACAATTTAAAGGACAACTGGTCATTTTATAATTACATTCTTCTCTATGTTTATCAATTTCTTTACGTTTAAATACCAATTTACAATCCGGATGATTTTCATGTTCATTACAATTTACTGGTACAAATTGACAGTCGATCTATAAAAAATTAAGAAAAATTTTAAAAGATAAAATGTACTTACGACGTGGATCGAGATTATTTGTCCAAAAAAAAAAAAAAAATAATAATAATAAATTTTTTTATTACTCAAGTTCGAGTTTTTTTTTTTAATATTTAATATATACTTACCTTTAAATGAAATCTTAAATCTTGTCTTGTACCTTTCCAATCACAATCAGGAGATAAATTACAGTAAACTAATAATTGTTCTAAATCATTTTGTACTCTTGTTGAGCTTTGTAAATCATTTTCAGTACAATTAGCTCTACAAATTGGACAAGATTTATTTTGAGCTAATGCTTGTAGTATACAAGCATAACAAAATTCATGTTTACATCTTCTAATCCTTTTTACTGTATCAAATACATCATGACAAATTGAACAAAATAAATCTTCGTTAACTGAATCAGGATCAACATATTTAAAATCTTCCCTTGTAACATTTACAATCGAAGGTCGTTTTGGTCGTGACATTATTATTCCTTGAGTAGGGAAAGAAAAAAAGATGGGTTTTACGGAAATGAACTATTTTTGGGGAATAATAAAAAATCAAGAATGTGCGTTATATAAATTTTAGGAAATTTTGTTCTGTTAAAAAAGGAATTGATGAACCTATTCAGACCGAAAAACTAGTACAGAAAGTTTAAATTAATTCAGGAGTAGTTTGTATTTTTGGTTAAAAAAAAAAAAAAATGTAGTTGTATATATATATTCTTTATAAATAAAATAAGAGAACTTTATGAAGAAGAAAAAGAAAAGAAATTATTGGAATAGAAAAAAAAAAAATTTTTTTTATAAAGGTTTTTTTTATTCACCAAAAATGGATTAAATTGATTTTTTGTAATAGAAGGTCGGTATCAATATGTCGGTATCAACATTTCGTATTACGCATAAATAATAAAATATAGGTTTTGTATATTTATGTATATTTATATATTATATTCGTTTCTTAAAAAGAATTAAAAATTTTTAATTTATATATATGTATTATAATATATATTTATACATATATAAGTACATATCATATATACAATTAAATAATATACAATAAAAAAATATATAATATAAATAATATACAGTATATATGTAACTTAAAAATACCGGATAAAATCATGTTACAGATGTTAATTTATTTTGTATAACTCACTTTAAATACGTGAACATAAAAAAAAAACTGCAAAATAAATTAAAAAAGATTCTTCTTGGTCTTCCTTGGCTATCTTGGCTATAATGTATGTTTGATGTTTCAAAAAAATTAAGATTTAGTAAGTCATTGTAGCAATCAATGAAACAATTTGCATATTGCCAAGATTTTTGAAATTTTCCATTGTAAAATTTATTCGTCTATGATCATTTTAAATGATCATTGTAAAATTTCTTTATTTATTTAAACAAAAAATTTCACGTGAATAAATAATAAAATGTTATCTGATATCGTAAAATATATATATATAAAATGATAGATAATAATAAACCGGTTTGGATTTAAAATTTAAAAAAAAAACTTGAAAAAAAAAGAATAAAAAAAAAAACGTGGATGTGTATCATGTGTTACTTTCCATAAAATCCATTAAAACAAAAATAAAAATCAAAGAAAATTACTCGATATATTTAACAAAGCAAATATGTGGTGCAATGGTGCCACTAAAACGTAAATGACTGCGCCGCATTTGAAACACGGAGTTCAAACTAAAAATCATAATCATTTTTAACTTAAATAAGCAATGTTTCAGAAGAATTAGAGAAAAGGTATAATTTCCATGGCACAATTCCAGAGGATAAACAATAGTTAAATTTTTGGTAGTTGTGTAACATGCAATTAATAGTCGTGATGCAGAAAATTAATTGTCGGAACAATTCTAAAACATTTTTGTTTTCCATCTAAATATCTAAATGGTTAAATTACTAAAATCATGTTAAACATGTGAAGAAAATCGTGAAATTATCGAAATCGTCACAAAGAACAAGGTTAATCTTTCGATTATAGTATACAAGATTAAAAAAACTTCAATTTTTATAATAAACAATGGTTAAATTCGCAAGAAAAGATAAGTAATAGTTCATTCTTTGAGATAACAAGAGAAAATTTTTATTATAAAAATCATCAAAATATTTTTATGGATAATTTTACATCAATTTCTTTCTCTCTCTCTCTCTCTCTCTCTCTCTCTCTCTTTTATTTTTATTATCCACCTCCTTTTAATATCGAGAGCTGTGCTTTCGTATTAAATAACCAATAATAAAGTTTCTTTGAAAATACTTTTTTTTCCTAAATTAAATTTTTACTCAAATTAATTATGTTCAAAAAAATTTTTAATCGTATTTTCATTGGTCTCACAACTTTATTATTGTTCACTATTATGGTTAGTGAGGCATCTCCTATTCGTCGAAATAATAATACACAAACTCCGGTAACCGATGATGATATTCGAGAATTTAAACTATGGGTAAAATTCGCTAGTGCTGCTTATTGTAATGTAACAGATTGGAATTGTGGTAAAGCATGTTTAGGAGAAACTGCTGGTACACGACTTATTAAGTTCTTTTCAAATACGGTTCCAAGGGATAATAACGGTTATGTAGCAATAAATGATAAAGAAAAATCGATAATAGTTGGTTATAGAGGTACAGCTGATGTTAAAAGTTTTGTATCTGATACAGAATTTTTTCAAACTCCATTCGTTAATTCTAAATTTAAGGATGCAAAAGTACATTCCGGATTTTTCGCTACTTATAATGATACGAGAGAAGAAATTACTAAATTACTTAAAGATTTAATTAAAAAAAATCCTGATTATAAAGTTATTTCAACTGGACATTCATTAGGTGGTTCATTAGCAGTATTTCAAACATTAGATTTAATTGATACTCCTGAATTAAATCCTTCTAACCTTATAACTTATACTTATGGTGAACCACGTACTGGTAATCAGGATTTTGCTAAATTTGTTCAAAGTACCGGTTTTAAATTTTTTAGAATTGTAAATAGAAATGATATTATACCTCATTTACCCCCTCAATCATTTAAATATAATCAATATGGCCCTGAATTTTGGGTTGACCCGTAAGTAATTACTATATTTGTGTGTATTAATATATGTAACCTATATTTGATTAACATTTTGGTACTAACTATCTATTATTTAATATTATAGGGAAAAGAATATTGTAGAATGTTCTACAGCCGAAGATGAAACTTGTAGTAATTCTCAAGTACCAAATTTATCAATAATTTCACATGCAAATTATTTTGATACTGCGTTTTTATTAACTTGTTTAGCTAAATAACAATAATAATATATATATATAATATGATAATATATATACTGGTATATATATTATCCATTCATTCGTTCATCACATTATAATGTAAATTTTTTATTATTTTTATTGAAATGATTCGAAAAAGATATTTCTATTATTATGCGTATTATGCGTATGTTGATCATTTGTTTCTAATAAAAAGATATGTATTTAAAAATATCTCCATTTCTTTAAATAATTATTGAGTTGATTTGACGATTAAAAAAATCTTAATAACATTATTATTTGGGTGCACAATTTCTCTCTCCGATTTCTTATTTCTTTGTTCATCGTTTGTGGCGTTAAGGCGTTAAATAAATTACACACGTTTCTAAATTAAAATCTCATTGATGTAAAAAATTGGTTCCGGTAACCGGATTTTTTTATTTTTGGATATATGATTCATTCTTTGTAAATCAAGGATTATTTTTTATCAAAATAATTGAATTCCAATTTTTTTAATACAGAATTCACTAAAAATCGATTTTATCTTCTATTAAATCATCATATTCTACTTCATTTAATTGGTGCAGGACTCTTTTGGTATTTTACTCAATTTTACATTTTTATTTTTACTTTAATTTTTTTCATTATTTACATTACACGTATCTGGTGTAACCGTGTAACTGTTTATAAATGAAATCATTTAATCATTACACAACAACATTAAGTAACAAAGGATTGGGTTTATTCAAATTACAATAATAAATAAAACATAAACAAATATTATTTCGGTAACCGGCAAATTTATGGTTTATAAACTTTATAATATTATTACATATTATTACAATATTGATTTGCAGAGGAATTATAAATTTTCGGAGAAAACTAAATTAATGAAAAAAGAAAATTTCTCAAGAAATTAATTGATGATGATCTATAATCAATTATGTCTATATATTGTAAACCACGGAAGTTACCGCTCCCATCTAAGTTACAACTTACAAGGTTGTTACATCTCTATTTTCTATTACTGTACGGTATTACAGCAAAAAGTTATTACTCGTGAAAATGATATGAATTTCATCATGTTATATCTTTAATTACGATATACTGTACTTTGATGGTTCATCATCGGATAAATTATTTCAGTCATTTTGTGACATTGTTTTTTTTTTATTCCAAAATTAGTTTTATCCTTGATTTACTTCGGCAAAGGAATGAAAATCACGGAAATGATTTACAATTAAAGTAATCAATATTATTAGAATCCTTGTTACAATATTTAAAATAGCAAAGATTTTAAAGTATGGAATTCTTATATGGTTTAAATCGTGATAGATAATAGGATTTAGTTACCGGTTATATACAAGATTTATTTTACATGTCTTTAAAGAGAATTCTTTGATTGGTCCAACCTAATGTTGAAAATCAGTCAGTTTGACAAGTGAAGCGCAAATTACGATTTTCTGTTATATTATATTTGTCAATTGTTTATCGTAAATAACGTTAGCATGATAATTGCAATTATGCATTTTTACACTAGTTAAAAATTTAATATGCCCATGATATCATATTACACAATTTTTTTTTTTATCCAATCAAAAAACATATAATATCTGTCAGGAGGAAGACAGTAATTCCTTGTAAATCGGAAATTGTCCAAATTTGGACTTTTGTGCCACAACATGTACTCTTTACGATCGGCATTTGATGTCACGATGCTTTGGATTCCCATTTTCCTGACGTATCCTAATTCCGAATGGACGAAAGACACCATCCCGACATGAAATTTTACCAAGGTCAAATTATGAAAATATAACTTGTAAATAATAACACATTATAATTAAAATCAATTAAAAGATTTTTCTGATAAAACTATTAAACAAAATTTCTGATCATTTATAAACTTAGCTAATTACTTGCAATTTTAAAAATTAGTAAATTAGTTTGAAAGAAATTATAAGTTGATATTTAATATAATAAAGAATTACATTATTAAATTCATTTAAAAAATTGAATTAATAACTGTTATATTATTTATATTTTATATATTAATATATAAAAAAAAATTTTTAATAATAAGGTATTTTAGTTAAATTATATAAAGTAAGAAATTAATAATATAAGCTGATTGTAATTAAATAATATAATTATGCTATTTACAGTAGTTATAATCAGTTTAGATTAAATTATTTAATCACAAAATAACCTAATTATGTTTAAATAACTTACCTATAGCTATATAATCTAAGGGTGACTAAATAACCTATCTATATATAACCATATAATTTAAATATAACTAAATAATTTACCTATAATTATATAATCTGAGTATGGCTAAATAATCCAAATCTAATAATCTAAATGTAACTATATTTTATAACCTAACTGTGTCAATTTTTTTTGCTTTTTTTTTTTATTTATTCTTATTATATTTCTTACTTTTAAAATGGATTTTCACTTTGTTTTTAAATTTTATCTTTGCAATTCAAGTTAAATCTTAAATTAGATTTAAATGATTTAGTTCAGATTCAAATTTGAAAATTTAAAGAATTAATTTGATCTGTATAAAATACTATTAAGAATAGATAAATTTAAAGAAGTAAACATATATTTTTTTATTTCTCAAGATAAACCTATATAAATATTATCTTTATTAGATGATGGTTTTATATATATTTTTTTTATACATTTCTATTACTATAAAGGTTTTATTATATTTGATTTAAAATAAGATTTTTATGAAGACTTTAGGAAAATTAAGGCCTTTATTTTATCTTATAAGAAAATTGTAAAGAATATTTATTTTTCTGCTAAATTTTTTTTCACAATAAATAGCTATTATATTTAAAAACTTTTCTAGGTTTATTTATTACTATCTTACTAAAAGCATTTTACAATAAATGTTCTATTGCTAATATATATATAACTGAATTACTATTGATTTTTATTATATATATAATGAAATTTTAGTAAAGCTTTTTAATTAAAATATACAAGATTTATAAATTTCTTTTTTTAATAATTTAGTTTTTACTAAAATAGTTAAAATACTTTGTAAAACTAAATTCATGCATTTTGTAATATATTTTGATTTACAATTATTTTTAGTAAATTATTATTTTTTTGCACTAAATATATAGGATTTTACTTTAAAATTTAAACTAAAAAGTGATTAAACTCTAGTATAATCAAATTTATTCCATTTATTATATATTTAATAAAAACTAAAGAAAATACTTTATGTAGTCTTTTTTTACTAAACTATAAAATAAAGATTAAAATTTTAACTAAATAATCTTTTATTAATATATTTGCTAATTTTTTTTTAGTTAAAATATATATTAATTCTGCAAATACTTTGAATTTGTAATAATTAATAAAAAAAACTGATATATATAAAATATGGTAGTTATACTTACTAAGATCTAATAATGTAGTAATTACTAATTTTTTTAAAATATCTTTTCAGTTATAATCAAAAATTTAATATAAAGCTTTTATAAAGAATAATAGATCTAAATGAAAATATTATTAATAGAGTTCTGCAATTTAATTTGACATTTGACATTTAATTTGAATTCAATTTGAATTTGATAAATTCAAATTAGCTTTAGTTAATTTTATTTAAATTTGATTTAATTTGATTTGAAAATTCTTTAATTTATTAATTGGGTAATTTAACAAATATTTGATATTTAATTTGAATTTAATTTAAATTTAATTTGATTTGACAAATTCAAATTAGTTTTATATTTAATTTAATTTTAAAGAACTCTAATCATTAATTTTAACTTTATTTATTTTTATATTTTTATGTAAAATATTAATATTAATTACAACTTTTTAAAAGTTTTTAACTATTAATATATTTGTAAATTTTAGATAAACTATATACTTTTAAAATATTATTTGCAATAAAAAATTTTAAAATCTGATTATTTTAATTGATTTTAATAATTAATTTATTTTTTATTTTATTTCAATTATAATCATTATATAAACAATAGAAATCCAATAACTTTTTATCATTTGATATATTTTTAAGTAGTAATAACTAATAAGACAACTTTTTTAAATTTTATTTAAGAAAATTTATTATTAAACTTTTTCTACTTTAAAATATAAGTCATATCAATTAATTATTTACTTTTTTACATTTAGTAATTAAATTAATAAAATTTTAATAATAATACTAGTTAAAAATATAAGAAGCTTCTTTACTATATATTTGCTTATAATTAAATTTATAATTATTATAATTATCTGATTTCAAATTGAAATTATTATTATAGTTAACTATTTAAGTTATTTAAATATTTATTAAAATTAATATTATTATAGTAAGTAAGAAAATTATTCTAATATAATTTTAATTAAAAATAGGTGAAATATATATATAGTATATATATTGTCAATAAGTAAAGTTATTATAATTCAATATATTTTTAAAATAGGTAAAATATTTTTTTTAATAAATAAAAAAAAAGTATAGCAAATTGTTAAAAAAATTAAAAATAAATGCATTTTTAATATATAATATTTAAAATAGAATTTTACTAACTTTCTTTCTGAAAGATGTCACCTAGCTAGATGACATCACCTGTACTAAAAATTGCACACAAGTTTTATAGGTGTGGTTTGTATTGATCTTCACCATATAAGAAACAAGTGACATTTAAGTGTCATCTGATCACATGCAGCTACGAGTTCAAAAACATTAAGTATTTAAGGGACTTAGTTTTTTTTAGTGTCAAAAATTTATTTGTTATTTCCATGATACAAAAAACCACACCCACAAAACTGGGGTGCCTAAAAATTAAAATTTATAACTTTTATAACTGGAAATTTTATTTTTTAAAATGATATCATCAAATTTAATAATTCTAGTGAACTCAAACCTTATTCTAATCCTAATCCCTAACCATAATCCTAATCCTAATCCTAATCCTTTAATTCAATTTCTAATCCTAACCCTAACCCTGACTAATCTACATAATTTAATTTTACATAGGTGATGTTACCTGAGTTAAATCATATAG